CGAGAGAAAAATCCCAACGGCTGCCAGCTCCCGTCTGAAAATTGCTCCAGGACCGCTCCCATTGCCGTACTGGATGCGTCGGTGCTCAACCTCAAGGGAGTGTCGTGCCTCGGGTGTGCCAGCGTGATCGTGCCTGCCAACGCTTGTTTGCATTTTTCGAAGGCTTCGCGAGTGTCCGAGGTCCAGACTAGTGGGCCGTCTTTTTTTCGAACTGTGGACGCGAGCGTGTACAGCGGGGCTTGTAGTTGGGCGGCGTGTGGGATGAACCGGTGGTAAAAATTGACGGAACCTAGCAACCTCTGAAGTCCCTTCTTGGTTGCCGGAAGTGGCCACTTGTGGATATCGGAAACTCGTTCTGGCAGCGGCTTGCATCCGTGCTGATTTACTAAGTGGCCGAGAAAGGTGAGCTCCGAAACGCCGAACACGCACTTCCCCGGATTTATAGCGACACCGGCGCGTTGCAAACGTTGGAGTGTTTCGCGCACGTTGGCCACATGTTCGTCGGCGTTGACGGAAGCGATTAATACATCATCGACGTAAGCAAAAACGAAGTCCAAACCCTGGATGACGCCGTTTATGAAACGCTGGAACGTCTGTGCCGCGTTCTTGAGGCCAAAGCACATGACAGGAAATTCATACAAACCAAACGGCGTCGTGACCGCGGTCTTTGGAATGTCATCCTTAGCGATGGGAATTTGATGGTAAGCACGCACAAGGTCGAGTTTGGAAAAAATTGTTCGACCCGCCAAGTTGGCGGCAAAATCGTGGATATGAGGTAGCGGGTACCTGTCTGGCTTCGTGACCGCGTTTACGCGCCGATAATCGCCGCAGGGGCGAAAAGTGCCATCTTTCTTGGCCACGAGCAGCAAGGGACTGGCCCAAGGACTGTCCGAAGGTCGACATATACCTTTCTGGCACATGTATGCAAATTCATTTTTCGCGATGGTGTACTGGTGAGGTGGCAGGCGGCGTGGACGCGCGAATAACGGTGGTCCGGTTGTGTCCAACGTGTGCTCCGTAGTGTGAGTGAACTTACTCGGGACCGGCGATTCACGCGTAACTGCCGGGAACTCGGCGATAATGTCCGTCCAGCGCCGTGGGTGAACTACCGAAAAAATGTCTGGAACCTGTACATTAGCGACGCTGGTTTTAATAGCGGTGGACGAATCCTGGTCGATGAGGCGGCTGTTACGTACGTCAAGTAACAAACCGTAATATTTCAAAAAATCGGCACCAATAATAGCACGCGAGACGTCTGCCATCTCGAAACGCCACGGGAAAGAGCGTGCGAGGCCGATGTTGAGACGTAGAATTTTGGGTCCGTACGTACGGATTCGATTGCCGTTGGCAGCTGTGAGGACCAAATCCGACGAGGCGCGATGCCCGGCGACAGGTGGGATAACCGAGATGTCGGCTCCCGAGTCAATTAAAAACTGTCGGCCGGAGCGTGTGTCGGTGACGAACACGCGGGAGCTGTGGTTCGCGGCGGTGGACGTGGTTGCGACCGCCGCGCTTGCTAGTTTTCCGACTTAAACGTACACGGCGACTTGCAATGCCTAGCGTCAGCGCCGTATTGATTATGATAACTGCACCATTTAGGGTTGTTTTGTGTGCGCGATTTTGAACGGCTCCGATGGCGACTGTACCCGGAATTGTTGCGAGACTGCTGGGCGGTGAGCAGGTTGGAGATTTGGGTAGTCAACGAGAGTATGGCAGCCTCTATGGCGCGGAGACGGTCGTCAGAGCTACTCGATTGCACCGCGAAGACGTCGCGCGAGGTACTGGCCTCCAACACGCGATCCGCACGTTCGGCGATATCGGTCAACGTTCCGTCGAGGCCGGAGACTATTGCGCGAATGTTTGACGGTAACTTTTGTAGCCAGAACTCCCTTAGCGCAGTATCGTCCAACGAATTCGGAAGCACAGCTCTCATGTCTCGGAGCATTTGAGAGGGTCTCCGATCGCCCATCCCGCCCGGTTCAACGATGGTGCGAAAACGAGTCGACGGCGGCACCGAAAACGTGCTGATGAGACGATCCTTTAGACTAGCGTAGGAAGTGTTGGGACCGATCAGGTCGCTTACCGCCTTGACCGCCTCCTCGTTCAGAGCGGCGAGCACGTGGTTTACACGCGGGGTGTCGGCGCGGATTCTTTGGTTGGCGAATACGGCATCCGCGTGTAGGAACCACTCGTGCGGGGAGTAAGTCCAAAAATTTGGTAGTCGGGGCACGTGGGAAACACTGTCAACCGTGGTCGAAACGTTCGCGAGCGAGGACGGTGATGGCTGACCGAGCGCACCAGACGGATCTTGCGAGACTTCGTCGTCAACCATATCGAACTTTTCGGTATACTTGATAGAACTTTGCGCAGTTGCGTGTATAACAGAAAATTGAGAATTTTGAAAAACACGAGGTCACCAATGCAGCAATCTAAGAACTTTCCCTGCGGCAACGGTATTTGAGGTTAGACGAAAGAAATCAGAATGCCGACGTATTTTAAATAATTGTTTAATTTTATTTGATTAAAGCAACATGTATAAAGGTTGCATGCTAATGACAAGTATAAGTTGGTATAGTAAAAATAAATGACACAGAAATTCTTTATTATGATCGCGGACAATAGCGAGCGCGGAACGGCGTGAACGTAACGGTAGACGGAGCGGCGTGAACGTAACGGAAGACGGCACCGTGAGAGACTGATACAGCGAGTGTGGTGACGACCGCTGGTACGACTGCTGCTACGACCGCTGGGGAACAGATGACAGTATGTGGGACAACCGTCGCCACAGCATTATCAAGTATCAACGCATATCAGGTTCGTACACAATATTGTTGTTGTTTATTTTTCGTATCACGCGCACCGTGTATTTATTTTCATTATTTGTAATTGATTTATTTGCCGATCGGATTGTGATCGTGCACACTATACTATTATTACTAACCCTAGTCGTTAAGTTACTACATTTGCAGAACATTCAAAATAAATTATTCTGTACTTTTTTCATACCACAAAACGTAATTGTTAATGTTCATCCCAATACCTTAAACTCAATATTATGAATTTATCTTAAATACAGTCCACTCTCTCATCCTCCTCCCCACCGATAGAACGTCGAGGAATATTATACCTACGAAGACAACGAACGCGTCGGTTTACGTGTAGCTGCCGCCTGTGCACACACATCCAGGTACATCCGTCGCCCGGCTTCCTTGTGCAGCCCCCTTCTTCGCACAATTATACTTGTAAGTCTACTGTAATTATTGACTATTGTGGTATGCGAAGCGAACGACTTTAAGATTAAAAAATCAAAAAAATCGTAGGAACCCTATTACATTATTATTATTATTATTATTATTTTTTTTTTTTTAATTGGATAACCCGCTGCAACATAGGCCATTGGGTGTGGGGAGAGAACTGTGGAGTTTTAGGTTGGGTAGGCTGGTACACATGTGTACTGTGTTTCGGCAGAATTTCTAATGGGGCACCTGTAGGTTTCTGCCATGCCCCGGGTGGGGGATGGGGGCACTTGTTCTCCGGACACCATGACTTGCCCGAAGAAAAATGCCGCCCGCGGCCGAGGTATCGAACCAGAGTCGGCTGCGTCTGCCTTGGTCCGCTCGGCCACTCCGTCCCCTATTATATGATATTATTGTTATAAAATCACAGGAAAATGTATATGCATAGCGAGATATGGGTACGCACTACGCCTGCACAATTATTATAAAATTATACTTCTCGCGATCGAGATGATAATTACTTAGAAATGATAATAATATCGTTTACTATGAATTCGAATACTCAAGTACGCTTTACCTATATGTATAGTGTATATGTACTCGTAACTTACTGTTATTGTTTACATAATATATCATACCGTATGATAATAATGTAGTGTTTGTATTGCAGGGTCATGGGTTGGCGGCGTGGGATCTAGAAGGTGGAAGTATATTTGCATTCAGAGCTAGACTTTACCGCTATATTAGAAGCAGTTCATTGCAGTGGGAGTATGTATGCACAGTGTATGGTGGATGTGAAGGTGAAGTGAAAATTCAGTACGCGTGGAGGTAGTTTAGTTTGTCGGTTGGCCAAAGTTGGCCTCAGCGTTCGCATATAAATATAATATATACATATTACCTATAGACGAGTGTAATGCGAATAATATTATATGAAATCTACTCGCTGGGAATCGGTAGCGTATAGTGACGTCTTAGTCCCCTGTTGTTTAATAGTATATTAATATTATTATTATTTATTACATATTATTATCGTGTTGCAGTTTCGAGTTTTCGAATACCGATTGTTATTACAATATCAACATAATACATTACATTCTAAATGGGACTTTCTTTTTTTTTAGTTTTTATGCATATAATATGGTTGGTATGTAGTTTTTTAAAAAATCAATATTATGCTTGTAAAATATAAACGGATGTCGAATAATTTCAAAACAAAAAATTAGACGTCAAGTATAATATTGGTAACCTTTCTGGTGTACAGTAGGTGTGTCGAGTAGGTCACGAGAGTATTGTATTTGAATTCCATGACAAATTATATTGTATACGATAAAGAACGACTCTGAGCTAAGACTTCTCCAAACTTCCAATTGGTCAAACTTATTGGTTATCACTCATTGAACGGTATTATTTAAATGATAACATTAACATTTTAAACAAATGTTTGCATTTTTACCGAATATTTAAAAAAGTTCGGAGTATTTTCATTATTTACCTCCCAAAACAACCAACTTAGATCCAATTTGCTACCAGAAAGCTCCCACAAAATAGATTATCTGAGCATTTTTCTCCTAAAAAGTGTCTTCAGACACGAACAACTAAGAAATAAAAGAAACACAATATCATTGTAATATCAATAATACATTTTTCGGTCTGTTCATCATTAATTTCATGACTATTTTGACGTTTATAGAGTCGTATTATATTATATGTCAACCAATTCGCTCGTTGAAGACTATATTAATTGTAATCACATAATTTACATACCTCGTCGTAATGGTACCAGAAGATGTAAGACGGCGGCTCAGGGCTGAACTTCACGACGCACGTCAGATTAATGGTACTGCCTTCGTTCACGTGAATGTCCGGACCACCGGAAATCGAAGCAGACGGCACTGTGGAAACCGATACAACGAGATATTATTATTCAGTTACGGTTATTGTGTTGTTACAAAGTTAGAGGGTACAGCAATAAACTAATTATTATTTAATTAGGATCGAGATGTGTACGTGAATTGAGTTTAAATATAGTTTCTGCCGAAACGTTATATCGTTAAATGAGCATGACACACACAGGCTTCTAACATTATTAATACGACACCCTTGGTATTTTATTATAATAATAGTAATAATAGTAATAATATAATAACAGAAAGTGTCTGGGAAACATACGTCTCGGTATTCAGTGGAAACCTATACGTTTTAGTGTTTGACGAATAATTTTAATACGCATACGAACACACCAAGTTCGATACGAGCAGGACGCCCCCACACGTTCACAAATTGTTCGACGTTTCACGAGGGCAAAGACCATACATAAAAGTAGAACTATGACCGTGGATTATCTTTTTTTATTTTTTCGATATAACTAATACGAAGAACGTTATTATTGTTTTTAAACCCATTATTTTTATGTTTTTCAGACTTGAATCAATCGAAAGATTAAATTGATCAAACATTAAATTGCACAAGAAAAGTTTTTTTCGTTTTATGAAGAACATTTTGTTACTTATCTTATTGTAGCCTTCTCGGTTTTTTTCCCAAATTAAACGGTTTTTCTATATAACATTGTAAATTACGCAACAACTTCAAACGATAATGATTAATGACATATGAGAGTATAGGATAATTTATTAGTTATACTATGAATATAACTTATAAGTATTTAAATATATTTAAAGTTTTGATTTTTCCTTAAATTTGTATTCAAATTGCACGTTTATTATATCAAGCCCATTTAAAAGATAACGTACGTGACGTTTTTTTAAGCTCTCAATGACGAAAGCTAAAATATATTTAACCTCCGACTCAACAATTATATTAGATAACTCGGTGTAATACGGTTGATGAGTTTTTCTATAACTATGGTCATAATCTAATATTAATATATTTTATTATGCAATGAATAATACATATTACAATTTACACCAAAAACGAAAGTTTCCCTTTCGGATATTGAGAATTAAATATTTATGGAGAGTAGTAAATGCACACACAATTATTAATATAATACACATATATATATTGTACAGTAAAAAGCAATCAAAATCGTTCATATTTAACTAACTATTGTTTAAGTATTTCGAGCGCGTTCCAATATATATTATAATAATAAGTATACATACACACACATATATATTATATATTTTATTTATATATATTATAAAAGCAGCTGAATGGATAATTGAAAAACGTGACTAAAATGCATTAAATTCGCTCGGGGACTCTTTGTTATTAAACGTAAGTTTTGTTCATACATTTGTGTACAACTAACGTAGAAGAAGGTTAAGTAAACACTGTATACCATTATGTGTATATATTGGTATAATAATATAATATTGTGTTTGTGCTTTAAACATTTCCGTTCGTTGTTTATATTTTTCACAAACGTATATGCCTGCTTTCAATAACTCAATAACTTAAATTCAAATATTTAATAATAATATACAAAGACACAAAGTGCATACTTACGCTCACACACACTCAGATGCTTTAAAACTTTACTGGGAATTTATCGAAAGAGACGGATTTGAGTTTGCGGAACTTCTGCACGACCTGCAGACCAAATAACAAAGTGGCGGCGCCCCTACTTCCGCTAAATCCGAATAGATAATAATAGATTCGCAATAATATACTTCGATAAATACCGACGTGGAAATAATGGAAAAACCGAAACTACCTGCGGTTAAAAGTCAAACAAGAAAACGTAACCACTGCATACCGAGTTTATAGACATACGACACCGTCTTGATGTATAGATATAATACGACGCTGCAGCACAACGGTCATGTCTACGTCTTCGTCGAATATATTTTCCAGTTTTCACTTCCGAATTTCCTGCACCGACGTCATCCTGGTTGATTTTTTCATCAGCCACCTACGTCTTATATCATAATAATATGACAGGTACTAGCTGTTATGCTGTACTGCATTTCCCGTGATAAATTGAATGCCCGCGAAGTCATCCCTTCTTACGCCTTCTACCCGTACTCATACGCCGTGTGATTGTTACTCAGAATGTTTAGTCTCCGCCAAACTATGTCATAGTTTTTGCTTTATGTCGGTTGGTAGTCAGTCAGGACATCTTCTTTTATAAATTCATATAATATAATATGAAATATATACTCCTGATACCAAGGTTTTGGTTTCAAAAAAGTTGAATATAACCATACCTAAGCGCCTTCTACTCGCCCTTGTATTGTAGTCGTGTTTGTCAGTGAGCGGTAGATTTATATAACGGTCTGTGAGTTTATATAGATTTCCATAGACTTGGCTGTGAATATCTAAGACACACACACACACACGCTGACACAAACATTGCCTTTAATTTATTAATAGGTATAGATAGATGGCAGACGTGTTTTTAATATACTTGTAATCTTTGTGGATTCATATATAGAATCGCATAATTGTGCGTGACTATAATATTATTATCATACGCCATCTCATTATAGACGTAATAGTCTGCAGTCAAGAAGAAAGGAAAAGTGGAACGACGTTTATGTACTCGTATATGAGCTTGATAATAATAATATACTCTTGAATAGTTGACGAGGTCTAGCAGTGTTGGCGTCAGTGAGACATCTTTCTTGGTGAATATATATATATATTTTTTTTTAAATATTTACAGCGCATCACGTTCCGCTCACGGCTGTTTTTCTCTTTCGTTCTCGGTCTGCGGCTCCTCGTGACTTAAGCCGGTGTTTTACACCAGCGACTTTGGAGTTTTAAAACGCAATGGCGGAACGTACCCACCCCCTCAACCGGCTGCAAGTTGGCGGACGCTTTTATTTTATTACTTTTCAAGGTCGCGCCCGTCGTCACCGCACACGCGTGTACATACGTATTATTATTATACATAATGTGTGCATATATATATATACACACACGACACGTCTTGATAAAAGTAGAAACTACTAACGAGCGGCATACGAGGCAGCACACCGCACACGTCACACACACGCATCCACCCACGCGAAGAGTTTACGCGCCCGCCGCATCGTCTGGAAGATTAAAACGCGTCGTGAAAATGGTTGTTCGTGAAATACATTTAGATAATTTCGGCGATTGTACGTCAAAAAACTTAACGTTCCCCGGCAAACTTTGGTTTTATATAAAACTACACGCGGTATACATGTACGGAGAAAACTACTGCAAAGTTTGGCCCATTGTCGTCTAATATACGTCGTCGTCATATATTATTATAATGTGTATTATTATATTTTGTTGGACGCGCACGCCAGTCATCAAGCCAGTCGCGACAGTCGCGGATCCTATCGTCGTATATAAATAATTATAATATGCTATAATAATATATTTGTATACACGCGTAGACAGGGTGATTCATTCCAAGCATGTTCCCACCCATTGTTCCTTTAAATAATGAATTTATTGGGATTCTAATTTTACTTGAACTTTTCTAATAGTTATGCACAAAGCCATTAAACCGTCATATTCTTGAAAACCATACTTTGCAGTACTTATTACGGTAATTTTAAAATATTAGAAATAGATATTATTAGTATATCAACATATTTTATGATATTATCTAAAAATGGTCCGAATATAAAATAAACACTATGATTGGCGTCTACCTATTTTACATTTTTGTAAAACCGTTTTTAAGGACTCTAAGGATTGTTCTTACAATAAATATTTTAATAATAAAGAAATTAGGTAATCGTTCTAGTGTTGGCTAATTAGGTACATCAATAATGTCAAAAAAAATTGTAAGATAAATAATTTACAGTAGTTTAAGGGGGAGGGGGGGCCTTATTTGAAAAACAGAAGTTTGAATTTCCGTAGGACACTCATTGAGTAGTACAAAAATATCAAAAGTTTGAAAACATTATGGTCTTTGAGTATATTTGAAAATGCCAAAAATTTGATTTTGAACAACTGCATTTTATTGGAGAAGAAAAGGGAGGTGAGCGAGTTAGATGAACCATCTTGTGTATAGTATTTTATGGTACATATATAGCAGCGTTGTCATGTCGTGTATAAATTATTATTATTATAAATTATTGTTACGCGTTTGGACGAGTTTTCGGAAAACATGCCTCCAAGATGGTGGAGGTAGCACACGTCTGATTCGTCAGACGACGCGCGACAGACGTAATAATAGAGACGACGACGACGACGATGGTGATGATGATAATAATAATAATATACGAAACTTCGTCGACGGAGGTGTGTCCGTAAATCACGACGTATATATTATATATATAATATGTATGTATATTAGTGGCGGTGGTTGTAGTGGTGACGGTAAGGGTGGCAAAGAGCTACTAATTATAGTCGACGTGACCCTTCTCTCCGGGACGTACAGGACGCGCACGCCTCGACGAAAAAGGGCCAAAGGTCCGAAAAATAAACAACTCCTTTTCGGGGAGCACTTTCAGCCACCACGTTATCATTGTCGTCATCGACCTAACGCTCACGCGCCCGAAGCGTTACATTTTTTTTTTTTTTTGCAAAAGCACAAAACGTTTTATTCCGTGCAAGCGGACGTAAGGCGGAAGTGATTTCTCCGCAAAATAAAAATTAAATCATGATATTCTATACGAATGACATGGTTGGTCTGCACGGTAAGTCATTTTATCGTGGAGTACAAAAAAAATAATAATATATTATAACTCGATTCCGTGTCTCGGTCTATTTATTCTGCCATTTATACGAACGTCTATATACAGAGGTAAATAAAATATTATAATATTATATCGTTAAAGAGAGCAGTGAGCAATGTACAAGGCCATACTAATTTTTCATATACAAGTCTATTTTTTAGTATTTAAAAAAAAATTTTGTTATATAGTTTGGCAGAATACCTATTAGTTATAAGCACGGCCCACCTTGCACCTTTTTTTCTTACAAAAATGTATTTTTATTTTAGTGG